TATTTATATATATTAATTTTGCAAAATCCAACAATCTCTTAGAAGTCTACTACTTCTCTTTCGTATTACTATTTTTCCATTATATGACGTTTTTGATGTGCCATAAAGAAATCACTTGATTCAAACATAAAATGATATCATATTCCCATTTCAGTCCGCTTATCATAACTGTAAACTCTTTGCATAGTTTCCATTCTGTCAGCGAAGCGCGTAGTCTGATTATTTATATTGACTATCTTTATGGCATTCAGAAATTTAAATCTTTTAATACACAAATTGATTCCATAAAGTGTGTTTTATATGATTCTGCAATAATGATTTCGCAATTTTTGAAAGCATTGCTTGCTCAGATAGATTAGATAATCTGGTTCTATTTAAGAGTCTTTGGGTAGGGAAAGTTTTTGTTAATAATGATAATTTTATGCTGTCAATTGATATTGAAATAGCCTATAATAATGACTATTTTTATTAATACATATATCTTAAAGCTTACAGATTATTAGCATTTCACTTACATTATTTTACACGATTTGTTTTATAATAATTGAATTTAATTTAATTTAATAATGTAAAAGTAAAACATAGAATTGTTGCCTGTTTATTCCTCTTAAGCAACGCATTTATTAGCATTTATTACAATAAGCCCCCTCAATTAAGACCCATTAAGGTTGGACATGATCTAAGCTCATCTGCAAAGCTTAGATAATTGTACAGAGAATTGGCTAAAACCTGCTGTCAGCATTTGTAAATGTTGTTGTTGCTGCTCTCTTTCATGCGGTGCAAACCCACAAACTGTCTGACAGCATTATTTACTCAAGCCAGACAGCGAAGCACCCACAAAACGAAAAACACTTGCATAGATCCATAAAAAGAAGCAAAAACCAGACACAACAATAAACCTCTTCGCCCCCTGGCCGAGCGAGTGTCCAAAAAGTGATTATCGTGAAGCTGAAACAAGGCGACAGACATGTAACATCAAATGCTAACAAGAGCTACTTATAATGTTCTTCTCGTAATTGCTCGACGAGCAGATGCTCTGCAAAATGCGCTCAGTTGCTCGCAGTTTGATGGACAGCTGGGAAAAGTATGAGCAAAGCAGACACAACTTGTTGAGTCGAACCTCGATGATTCTATGCTAGCTTAGTTGATTATATGATAGCATATCATACTGATTCTATAGACTTAGACAAGCTGTGGACATGTTGGATACTGAGAGAAATATAATATAATTAATAACCATAAACCATAAATTAAAAATTATATAAAATAACATATTAAATTATATTATATGCAACTTTTTTTTTATATAAATATACCCTCAATTACAAGAGTTGCTTCAGCTATTATATGGACTCATCGATGGCTTTTAGTAGTTCTCTCTCTCTCTCTCTTTCTCCCTCTCCCTCCCTTTCTCGATGTCATCCAACAGCCTARAGTAGTATGAGCTGCATTTGATTCAATAAGAGCTTGAATATCGCATAGTTTTCTTTCTGTGTAATTCCATGCTCTGTTCTATTGATTCGATTCGCAGTCTAAGCCCCGAAATGTGCAAAGTCTATAAATCAATGCTGGTTGGCAACCACATGCCTAT